GTGCTTGGAAGGAAAACCACACAGCCCGCATCTGCCCTGGCTGGGGGCCATTTCCACTGCGCCACACCCTGGGCATCTTGCAAAGGGGACTGAGGGAGTGGGGGAAGTTGGGCCTATTGGTTGGACACGATGGAGGTGCAGAACTCGACTTGCGTGTGTCTGAGTGTGCAAAGCCTCTGCCTTAGAGTGAAATCCACGAGGTCCCCAGAGGACCCTGATTTGATGGCAACATCTGAGTAGAGAGTCCTGGCCCTCAGGCGTTTTGCCCCATCATTTCGACTTGTATTTGCTTAAAGCAGAAAGGTTAGAGTCCCAGTCACAGAATGAGTCCAGGGACTAGGGTGCCCTGTTATGCAGGACCCTGGCTCCTCCTCACTTAGAACCGAGGCCCAAGAGACCCAGAGGAACTGCTCTGTGACCCAGAATTACAAAGGTATGAGTTGATTTCTTAAAGTGACAGAAAAATGACTGCATTTCCCCTTTGGCCATCTAGGCATCTTTATTTAAAAAGCCAAGTCCTGACTATATCCTGTTGATTCACTAAGCTTAATTCAAATTAAACTTCTTCAGACAGCCCTGCCTTTGTTCTCTCAAGTTGTGCCATTCCACGAGTATAAAGAAGGAACTGACACTTACTGGCTTAACTTCTGGAATTACCTGCGTTTCTCTGGGGGGGGGGGGGGGTCACCCACAGAGTTTTTGTAAGCCTGATGTAAGAGACAACCCCCCTCCAGCCAGGCACCCCATTCCGAAGCCATCTCGCCCATGGGTGACACTTTCTGACACGCCTCTCTGACTTTCATCAAAATGCTGGGACAACTCAGAATCCTCCAGAGAGGAACTTCTGAGGGTTTTGATCATTTAAGTTCCAACATATTCCACCCTTACTCCCACCTCACCACCCACCCCTTGTATATGTATTTCTTAAGCAAGGAGATTGAAAAAAATGAGTTTGAATATCTGTGCTGGTATTACGCCTCCGAAATGTCCTAGATCGATCACCAGGGTGTGGAGGGGACTTTTGATGAATTGTGAAGCAGTCTCAATCTGCTCTCATTCAGGTTCAATGGAAACCAGAAAAATCCATGCGGCACAAGGCTGATTCAATTTGCACCAGCCGGAAGAACCTGCCTCTACCCCAGGCTTGAACCCTTGGGCATCAGTGGCTCCGCACAAAAGAAAGTGATGGGAGGGAAAACCAAGGCGTGCGTTTCCCTGGGCTCCTAGAAAGCCGAACACCAGCACTGCCCATAGTGCTCCTCCGCTTCGTAAAACACATGTCCCATGTTGCTTTCTCAGACACTTTCCCCTGCAACTGAAGGCAAAACATGTTAAGGACTTGCTCTCATCTTACTATGATGAAAGCTAGTAGGCTCATAAATAATTCATTGACCGAGTTCATTTTATTCCGGACCAAACTGACCCTAAAAATACATACACACAAGCCTTTGTTATGTCTGACTTAGAAATCCCACCCTTCTCAAATTCTTCAAAACCCCAACTGAAAAAGACATTTATGCCGCAAAAGACCCAGAACAAAGGGAAATGTGATCCTTAGTGTTCTTCAGCTCCAAAGAGCGTTTTCAAAAACAGATTTGCACGCACACACTTTTCACGCCGCCGACGGCCGCACGCTGCGGCCGCGAGAACGAGCGGGCCGGCGCCCGCGTCCGCGCAGATTCTGACCGGCCGGCGAGGCTGCCGGGCGCGCGGCGGCTCCGCGGGGAACACGGGCCGAGCGCGCGGAGCCTCGTCCCACTCCGGTGTCACTCAGACACTTCTCTAGTTAGGCTTGTTGGTCAGCCCCAGCTCTCCCCGCAGAAACGCCTGTGCACAAAGCCCCCGACACGCGACAGCAGGGAGTCGGGATCAAACAAAAGCTAAAGCAACTTTTCCCGAAGCGCAGGACAGCGCTTTGCAGGGTCTTCCTCTCGCCCTCTGCACCGCAAAGCCCGCGCGTGCGACAGACCAGGGAGCCCCCGGAGCCCGCTCGCCCGCTCCGCGGTCGCCTGTCCCTCCCGGCGGCCGGACGGACTGGGGTCCGCGCTCGTTCTCCTCGGAGCGCGGCCGCGGATCCGGACGCCCACCGCCCAGGCGCACAGACGCCCCGGCCGGCGCCCGCGGCGGCAGACGGGGGTGAAGTTCTGGAAAGAAGTGTGGGTTAGAAGCAAGGAGGAAAGCGGACCCACCTGCGGGGAGTCCGTGGGGAGGCTGGTCCCGGGCTCACCGAGGCGGGGCGACCCTCGCGCCCTCGAGGCACCGGGGGCGACCGCCGCCTGTGCGGGATCTGCGCCCAAGCGGCCGTATTTGTACCCTCGGCCCCTCACATGGTCTGATCTCTAGATAACCGCCGCCAAAGAGCTCTTCAAGAATTTTTGCGTCATTTTGAGCCGCACAAACTTCACGTTTCCCTACGACCTCGGCTCGGCCTTCCTCCGGGGGGTGGGGGGACCTTCCTGGGAGCGCTCACTGGGGGAGGGGGCTGCAGGGCGGAGGTAAGTGGAAAGAGGGGGCGGGGGCCGGGCGGGTGGAGGACCCCTCCCCCGACACACACTCACTCTCTCTCCTCCCCTAAGAGAGATGGTGCTCTAGGAAGAGAGAAAGCCTGGGGCGGTGAGGGAGGGGCCGGCAGCAGGCCGAGCAGAGCCGAGAACCCCAACTTTGCAGCTCTCGAACCTTGCAGGGGCGACAGGGGCCGCTCCACGGCTGACAGGTATCGTTCCTCCCCTACGAATTTCTGCGCCGCGGCACTGCCTCCCAGCGATTGGTCTTGACCACTGACACCCCACCACCCCCTTCCGAAAGAAACCTGCCCTATTTTTCTTCCTAGGACTTAACAGCACCTGGCACTCCCTGGGCGAGTCCGGCTCGACAGCTGGCCTCAGCCCGAGGGGCCTTGTTTAACGCCCCGCCTTCCTTAGTGCCTCCGACGGTGCTCAGCGGTGCCCAGCCCGGGGGCTGCCAGTAAATACTTGCGGAATGAATGAATGAATTCTTTTCCAACTTTGTGAACCAGCCACAGTCCAAAGCAGTCAAGAACAGATATACAGGGTGGGGCGAAAGTAGATTTACGGTTGTTCGTAGAGAAAAAAAAAAATCAGTGATTAATAAATAATACAAGAGTAAACTCTGTGTGTCCTGTACTTACAATTGTAAGCTTACTTTTGCCCCGTCCTGTATGGGTGGTGAGCTGCGAAAACGTTCATGTTTATGGCGTGGAGTGGATGAGTTGCCATAGTATTTTAAATATCCAAAGGGGTTCAACGGGAGCCTATTGTTTTGAACCCTGTGAATGAATTACTTTGATAAATTTTTTAAAACTTAAGCTTAAAAAGGAAATTCACATTGCATTGTCTTTTCGGTAATTTTCTTTTTTGCATTTGAAAAGAACGGGCGCAGTGCTTGCTCGGGGACGGCCCTGCAGCGGCGAGGAGCCCCGGCCTGTCTCCAGAGGAGGCGGGGACCTAGCAGAGCAGCAGGCAGAGAGGAAATGGCAATGACCAGTGTGCACTTGGAGGATCAGCTCCCGGAGAGCTGAACTCGCACCCCAGCCGAGCTGGGCAGCCGTCTGCGAAGACCAGGTTGGAACTACTCTGTCCCGGGTGTGGGCCGGCTCCCCAGCCTGGGAGGGATCAGTGTGAGGTTTTGGTGCCACCTAGACATCAGGGTGGCGATTGCAAGGGGAGAGCACGCAGGCTCCTCTGGCGAGTCTTCGGTTAAGGCTCTTGTTTCCACCCAGTCTGTTCTCCACGCTGGCTGAACATGACTTTTTAACAGCATTCCACAGTCTCACGAACTGTCGACGCCCCCATTCCTGGTCTTCTTTCTAGATCCTAGTACTTACTCCTGCCCACCCTCCCAGGGCCCCTCTTGGAACCGCTTTCTTCAGTGCGGGTGCCTGGAGGAGGGAAGTCCCACCAGCCGGATCAAATCCCAGCTCTGAGCCAGTACTGTCTGTGTGCGGTCGTTCCCACACCAGGTAAGATCCTCAATCTCAGCCTGTATGGCATTCGGGTCCCTTTTCTGTAAAATAGGCTTTGTAAAAATGGGGGCAGCACCCACAGGGCTAGAGTGATGGGGATGACGGCGGCAATAACGCCAAGAGGCCTCTTCTCTCCAGGGAGACTTCCCGCCTAGCCTCTCTCCTTGGCCTTGGAGCACCCCAGGCCAGTCTTCTGCCCTTTTGCTCCTAGGCTGAGAGGCACAGCCAGAAAACCACAGGAGGATTGCAGAGACTGGACCTTTGCCTCATTTCTCACTGCCTCCCTTGCACGGTTCACACGAAATTGTCCCAGAGGGTCCATCCTCTCCTTATTCCTCTGCTTTCTTTCCCTCTTGTCCCTGAGGGTGCCACCCACAGACACCACTTACTGTAGCTTCAGCTGCCCCACCTTTGCCTCAGCAGTCTGGCGTCTCTCCTCCCTCAAGCCACCCCTCCCCTGTCTCACTTCCCCTGTGCATCACCATCCGCCCTGCCATCCTCCAGCACCCGGACCTCCGACCTCCTCGCTGGGGAAGGTCCTCAGTGTGGCGCCTATTCTCACTGCGTGTCGAGCTCTACTTGACTGCCCATCCTCACCACCAAATCAGGGCGTGTGGACAGATGTCATCACCTACTGCCCACAAGGGCAGCTCTTCCCAGCTGTCCACCTCTGCCGTAGCTCCTTCCTGACCTGAGCACCTACTCTGTGCCAGGTACCGAGGAAGCCCACTGCTGGCAGGAGTCAGGAGAGGGGCAGTGCTGCTCGGGGGAGGCAGAGGCACGCAGAAGGGCGTGCTCAGGGAAGGGGCCAATGGCTTGATCCACTTGGATGAGAGGTACGGGGTTGCGGGTAGAGCAGCAGTTGGAGGCAGGAGGGTGCCTTAGACGTGAGTACAGTTGTGAGAAGGAAGCCCCAGCACAAAAGGGGAGAAACAGAAGTTGGGAACCAGAAGGCAGCCTTGGAGCTCATTGACTGGCCGGTGGGGGGGAGGGGGCGGGGAGGCGATAGAGCTAGCTGTCCAAGATGCCGCGAACCTGGGGAACTGGGTGAAGAGACGCACCAGGAGACCATAGCTCAGCAAGTATGTCTCTTTGCTGCACTAATTCTTGCCCAGAAGTAGCAGGGCCTCAGCTTGCTATGCGGCTGCCAACAGTCTTTGGCTTTGAGAGATAAAGAGCACATTTAATGCTTAGATCCCCACCGTGCCCCCTCCCGCCCTCTCCCCCTCACCACACGAAACACCGCCACCAAGAAGACCCGCTTCCTGGGTGTCTCAAGGCCCAGCACTGTTCCCCTGTGGAGCCAGGCCAGGACTAGCCGTGTGAGTCAAGCCTCTCCCTCTGGAAGCCCTGGGCCTGTCTGTCTGTCCTTCCTCAGCTCTGTTTACATGATAATGCAAGGCAAGGCTGCCCCACCCTGTGGGCTTTTCCTCAGCATTCCCAGTGCTTACAGTGTCTTCCTGCCCCATTCCTTCCAGGCACTCCCCTGCCCGTATGGGAGGTGACAAACTCTTGGTGACTTCACTCCCGCTCATCCAGGAACAGAGTATGGTACCTCGGGGCAGGGTTTGCTGCCACTGTGAGCCCCGGGGTTGTCCCCAGGGAGGTCCACAGGAGAGCCTCCATGTGACAGGCCATCTCTGATTCAGATGGCACAAGGCACAGGAAATGGGAGGGAGAGCCCCCTTAGGGCTGTCAGGAGGGGGACATGCTCAGGGTAGGGAGAGGAAGGAGAGGCTGGGTCAGGCTCAGGCCTGAGGGGCTCAGCCCTGAGGAGCACAGAAAACATTTGCACGTAGACTAGCTGTGTCTTTGGTCACCTTCTTTCCCATTCTTATGTTCCTACTGCGTTTGCTAAACAAACCTGCCCCCCCCCCAATTTTATAGGTATTGTGAGTACCCCAGGCTCTATCTGTAATGTCTGTGAGCCAGGGTTTTTTAATTTTTACTTTCTTCCTACAGGATTCTTTCCTTGAACTGTAAATACCCTTAGCTGGGCCACGTCCTGAAGGATGGCTGTTTGCACTTTCTGCCCCGGCAGAGAAGTGGAAGCCAGGAGAGCACAGAGCACCAGAAGGGCTCCCAGGCCCCGTGTACACGCCCACCTGTCGTGGCCCCTTGGCGTCTCCCAAATGCCCGCCCCCTGCACCAGGCTCTGAGTTTCTGGGGGACGGGCTTTGTGTGTCTCCCTGTCTTAACACCTGTCACTGTGTCAGCACACGGCAGGTCCCACAAACATGCATATTGGCAATAAATGGCTAAAAAAGTGCCTTTTACTCTTAACAGACTCGGTGCCATAAAAACCAGGGCCCTGGGGACTGGTAGGCAAATCATGGCCTATCCAACAATGGAGTACCACACAGTTGTGCAAAAGAGTGAGGCATGGTGTAGCTCAGTGGATTGAGCACGGGCCTGTGAAGCAAAGGGTGGCTGGTTTGATTCCCAGTCAGGGCACATGCCTGGGTTTCAGGCCAGTTCCCAACAGGGGACACATGAGAGGCAACCACACATTGATGTTTCTCTCCCACTCTTTCTCCTTCCCTTCCCCTCTCTCTAAAAATAAATAAAATATTTTTTAAAACATTAAAAAAACTTCATTTCTTAAAAAAAAAAAGAGTGAGGCAGTGTTACCTGGGCTGATTTGGGGAGATTCACAAGATTTGTTGTCCACTGAGAAAAAGGAAAAACACAGAACAAGCTCTCCTCCAGTCTGGGGTGGGGCATGCAGAGAGACAGGCCGCTGTGTGTACCGCAGCCTCTGGGTTCACAGAAGACACTGGGAATAGTCAGAGCCTTGGAGCGAAAGGGCGTGAGTGGGGGAGGGAGCCTGCCTTTTCATCGTATACCCTTCTCCTTATATATCTGCCATGAGTAGCTGATAATTTTATAAAACTTTTTCAGAAAAGCAGTATTTTTTCAAGTTATAAAAGCAAAAACCAAAATGGACACAGGAAGACACTCTGGGAGGCCCTAAGCTTATCGCAAAGCAGGGAGGCGCTCTGAAGTCCTCAGGGGCACAGCACAGGCGTGTTTCCTTCCCAAACGAGGCCAAATTACTCAGCACTGTTGTAAAAAAATTTTTTTACCTTGGAGAAAGAGGGAAATATTTTCTCTCATTTACTAGCAAGGGTGCTGTGAACCAAGAGGCGAAGTCCAGGGCTTGCTCGGAGCCTGATCAAGAGGGAAAATTACTTTCCAAACACAAGGCCCCTGCTTCCGGCCGTTGAAGTCACCCGCTCCCTCGCACCTCTACTGCCAGTTTTTGTTTTGTGAGCTTGACTACAGCACACTCACTTCCGCTCTGCCCCTCTGCCCAGCCCCGGAGCTTCCAGATAACTTCGTGCCTCCCCAAATAGGGAGGTTTTCCCGTAGTCTGTTTTTGATGAGCTGATGACCTTCATCTTTGACGCGCGTGAATCTGACTAGTCTTTGACATTTGTGGTCCCTGTGGTTAGAAGTCAGTTTACAACCAGTCAGCCCTTCTTGTCCTTCGACTTCAAGCCCTTTCGTAACTGTCACGGCACTTAACTAGAAGACCTTGCTCATCACAAGTCACCTTCTTTTTCAACTGGCTCGAGTATGTCCATCTTATTTTCCCACCTAAATGGTAAACTTCTGGAGAGCAGGGAATCATTTTCACCCTCCATACTAGTACGATACTGGGCATGTTGGAGGAGCTCTGTGAACAGGTTATTAATAAAATCTACCATTTTTTGAGCATCTACAAGGTACATTACTGCATTCTCTTCTGTACTTTTGCCACCATATGGGTAATAGGCAGTATCAATGCTTTGGCTGTATTTTGCTGTAAATGTTATTAAAAATAAATGATAGATTTCCTCTTTTTCAAGCTGTGAGTTCTCAAGTTTAATACATTTAAGTATGGTTTTTGGTACAAGTGGCATGGAGACCGAGCCCAGAGAGGTCCAGTGACTTGTCCCCACTGACACAGGCTCCGGGTGGCACAGTCGGCCTGTCTGCCTGAGTCTGAAGGCCCTGGGCTTCCCGCCATGCTGGGCTGGTTTCAAACAAGAAAGGTGCACAGAGTGAGAAAAGAAGCAAACCTCTGTGTTTCCCCTCCCTCTTCGACTGCCCCAGTGCCAGTCACCTTGACAAAATCTAGACCTTGCTGCTAAACATTGAAATAAGGTCATGGGGGCTTTGTCTTGGTTCCACTCATCCCTGCTGAGCAAGGTATGGGGAAGCAGACTTTGGATCTATGTATAAACTTTTCATTGAGAATAGCTGTCAGAATATAGGGCATTTTCAGCCACTCAGCCAACTGCATTTACCATTTATGTGTGAATAAAGTGGTGAGCAAGATAAAACCCTGCCACTGAGGAACAGACAGGGAGCATCGACTTTGGGGAAAATATACATAAACGTATAAATAAAGAAGATAATTTCAGAAGGTGATAGTCAAGGCCCTGGTAGGTGTGGCCAGAGAGTTATTCCAGTGGGCTCAGTGGGTTGGGCATCATCCAGCTAAGCGAAAGCTCGCTGTTTTGATCTCCAGTCAGGGCACGTGCCTGGCTGTGGGCTAGGTCCCCGGTTGGGGGCATGTGAGAGGCAACCAATTGCACAGCAGTGTTTCTCCCCTCTCTTGCTTCCTCCCTTCCCCTTGCTCTAAAAAACAAATAAATAAAATCTTTTTTATCTTTGTTTCAATTTGTATTTGTTTTTTATTTTAATTTATTTTTTATTGATTATGCTGTTACAGTTGTTCTATTCTCCCCTTCATTCCCCTCCACCCTACCCCCCCGTCCCCACCATTACCCCCCCTTTAGTTTATGACCATGTATCTCAAGTTCTTTAGATTCTATATTTCCCATGCTATTCTTGCCCCCCCCATCTATTTTCTACCTACTGTCTATGCTACTTATTTTCTGTACCTTCTCCCCCCTTCTCATTCTCCCACTCCCCTGTTGCTAACCCTCCTGGAGATCTTCATTTCTATGTTTCTACTCCTGATCTAGCTGTCCTTTTAGTTTGCTTTTGTTTTAGGTGTGGTCGTTAATAACTGTGAGTTTGTTGTCCTTTCACTGTTCATGTTTTTTTTTAACTTCTTTTTCTTAGGTAAGTCCCTTTAACATTTCATATAATAAGGGCTTGGTGATGATGAACTCCTTGAATTTGATCTTATCTGAGAAGCACTTTATCTGTCCCTCCATTCTAAATGAAAGTTTTGCTGGATAGAGTAATCTTGGATGTAGGTCCTTGCCTTTCATGACTTGGAATACTTCTTTCCAGCCCCTTCTGGCCTGTAAGGTCTCTTCTGAGAAATCCGCTGACAGTCTGATGGGAACCCCTTTGTAGGTGACTGTCCCCTTATCTCTTGCTGCTTCTAGGATTCTCTCCTTCATTTTAATCTTGGCTAATATAATATGATGTGCCTTGGTATGTTCCTTCTTGGGTCCAACTTCTTGGGGACTCTCTGAGCTTCCTGGATTTCCTGGAAGTCTATTGCCTTTGCCAGATTGGGGAACTTCTCTTTTATTATTTGTTCAAATAAGTTTTCCACTGGTGGCTGTTCCTCTTCCCCTTCTGGTACCCCTATAATTTGGATGTTGGAGCGTTTAAAGATGTACTGAATGTTCCTAAGCCTCTCCTTATTTTTTTGAATTCTTGTTTCTTCATATTTTTCTGTTTGGTCATTTTTTTCTTCCTTCTGGTCCACTCTTGATTTGAGTCCCAGTTTCCTTTCCATTACTATTGGTTTCCTGTGCAATTCCATTCATTTCAATTAGTTTCGCCTTCATATGTTTGTCTAATTTGTGGCTATAATCAACCAGTTCTGTGAGGATCCTGATCACCAGTGTTTTAAACTGTGCATCTGAGAGTTTTGCAATTTCTTCATTGCTTAGATTTATAGGCTCTGGGGCTTTGAGATCTTCTTGAGCCATTTTTGGTCTGTTTGCGCCTGTTAAGTATGAGGAGCGGAGCCTTGGACTCCCAGGTCACTGGGTTGTGACTCTATATGTCGAGGCGGGGTCAGAGCGGGGAAATGGCATCCCCCTCTGCTGTTTCTCGCAGCTGGGTGAAGAGCAGAACCTTAGGTCGTTCACTGGAGCAGGGCCACTTAGGTCGCTGGATTATGACGCTGTATGTGGAGGCGGGGTTAGAGCGGGGAAATGGCGGCGCCCTCCGCCTCAGCTTGCCGCTGGGGCTGCTGGGTCCAGGTCCAATCGCCCACTCCCTTGCTTGTCTACCCACACAAGAATGCGCGACCACAGTCAACCCGCAGCCCTGCTCCCTCGCTGTTTCCCCGCGGTCGCTCACTGAGTTGCCCACCAGGTCCAACCCTGCACCTGGATTCCATGTACCTGAGTCCGTCTGACCGAGTCCTCCTGTGCAACCCCGCTCCACCAGCTGCTGGTTTTGCCCCTTACAGGTCAGGCTGAAGAATTTGTTGTTATCAGACTTCCGAAAAGTTCAATTTTCTGTGTTCTGGCTGTGTTTTCTGTTGCTATTATTTAGTTGTCTCTAAACTTGGTTGTGTGAGGAAGCATGGCATCTCCATCTATGCCTCCATCTTGGCGGAAGTTGCTCAATTTTAAATAAAATCTTTTAAAAAAGTGAAAAGCCCAAAAAGGTGGGGGAAAAAAGGCCCAGGCTAGTATGGAGAGCAAGTGACAGGTGTGGAGGTGGTGGAGCCACCAGGAAAGATGGCAGCTTCTTAGATAAGGTAATTAAGACAGCCCTGATGGGCCAGCCACGACCCAAATTACACAGAGCTAGCCAAGCAAAGCCATGAGGAGAGGGGACAGCAAGGAGGTGGGGGGTACACCTGCTGTGTCTAAGGGACAAGCTGGTTGGCTGGAGCAGAGTGAACAGGAAGGTAAAGTGAGGAAGATGAGGGTGGAGAAGTGGGTGGGGACCACCAGCGGGAGAAGCTGTGTGCTCCGGTCACCGAATGCGTCCCAGAGCAAGGTAAAGGACTTGTCTGACTTGGAGAGGTGTTGACGAGGTAACCTATGAGGTCCCAGCCAGGTGAGAGCAGGGAGGCTGCAGTCGCAAGTCAAGCACACTCTGGGACCTTGTACCATATGCCCACCCTGCCAGCTACCCTATCATTCTGTGCAGCAGCTGATTATTAAAAATAAAGGAAAACTGCCATGGGGTAGCCAGAGAGATGGCTTCAGAGCCCACTCCATCCACTTCAAGAGGAGATGCCAAACTGTAGTTTTTCTACAGAAGAGAGAGAGCAAGTAGTATTCCAACCGTACCAAGAAAGAGGAGTACAGAAGGGCTTCCCACCTTCACACACCCCTGTTCCTGAAGAACGAACAGAACATTCGTTCCCTCCCTCCCTTTCCCTTTGTGGGAATGTGTAAAGGGCCTGGTGTTTGGAAGAGGAAACAAAACAACTCTGGCCCGTCTGTGGCCAGTTTTCAATGAACTGTATCACAGACTCCAGGGAGGAGCAATCGGCTTCCTGTTTCTGAACAAGATGTCCTAAATGGGAGGGTGTTCATCTGGAGTCACTTAAAGGAAAACCCAACTTAACCAAGGACTGTGGCCATAGCCAGGAACAATGCGCAC